CTGGCTCTGGGCTTGCCCTGCGGGGCTGTGCTTTGGCGGCAGCAGCTGCGGCCCCCCTGCTTGCCATGTTGGGGAGTGTTTGCCAGTGTCGCCTCTTGGCGGCCCAGCATGCAAGCTCTGGGTGGGCAGCAGCACCAAACACTGCCCGGCACAGCAAGCGGGGGGCAGGCCACAGCTGCTGCTGCCACGGCACAGCCCTAATGGGCAAGCCCGGAGCTGGCACAGGGCCGAGGCTGGCAGTGGGGGTGGGTTACAAGCTGGTGCTGTGTGTGGGGGAAAAGCAGCACCTTGCCCTCCCTGTGGCCAGCACCCCGCACTGCAGCTGCTCGCAGCCCACGTGGGGCTGCCTGTGCCTGCTCAGGACAGCCCCGCACAGGCTGTGAGCGACTGCAGCAGGGAGTGCCGGCCAGAGGGCAGGGGAGGGGCCACTTTTCCCCACACCCAGCACCAGTTCCTTCCCTGCTGGCGAGGCGGGGGTCGGGGCTGCACGCTGCCCCCCGCCTGCACTATGGGGCTGGGGGGGCACTGGGAGCGAGCAGGTGTGGGAGCCAGCAGGAGCATGGGGCCCACACCAGTGTCCCGGGAACAGCATTGGCGGGGCCCAGAGCAGGGTAGCAGGAGTACAGGGTTCCGGCTGGCAGGGGCTCTATGGAGCTGGGCCAGCTCCCCCCTCTCCTACTTACCTGAGTCTCCGGCGCAGGGCAGCCATGTGGTCCTCTGCTATGGCTTCTGGCTGGGGGGCGGGGCTGGTTGGGCCCTGCTGTTGCGGGAGGTCGCTGGGCTTAGCCTGGGTCCTACTGTCCTTGGTTTCTGTCATTTTTGACAGGAACCAAGGACAGATCAATATTAATTTTCTAAATTTTTTAGGGGCCCTGCAGGCTGGATAGAATGGTCTCACGGGATAGATCCGGCCTGCGGGCCATATTTTGCCCATCCCTGGCTTAGACTTTTTTGGGGCTAATTAACAGGTCAGTTGGTAATGTCCCTCTGTTCCTTCCTTGGAAAAAGCTGTTTAAGAAGAGCTTGAACTAATGAGAGAGGCTTTTGTGTTGCTGATGGGCTGACACAGTGGTTTGCTGATAACACAGTGGTTTTATCAGCCCCCCTGCTGGTTTGCAACCCTGTCAAGTTTGCAGACAGGGAGAGGGAGATAGAGAAGCTCAGTATCATCGAGATGCATGCACTGCACACGCCACTTTGCCTCAGAGTGCTAGCTGGGGTCTGGCAACACTTCTGCCCCTTGAGCAGCGAACAGGGAAAAGCCTGAGATGGTGCAGGCCAGGGTGGGGGTTTAAATCCCTCCCTAATCAGAGTGTCCTGCTGGGGCCTAGCCTTGCCACCCCTCAGCTCAGCACTGTGGACAGGAAGGGAGGGCTGCTCTAGCGCCCCCCAGCTTGTAGCCTGAGCCAATGCAGACATGTGCCTGCATTTCTCGAATTAAATCAGTACAAGCTTTGCAGGTTAGACTAACCTCCAAATATTGAATCAATTCAGGCTCAGGCTTTTTGAATGTCTGTTCCTAGCCTAGAAGTACTTTATGAGTTGGTGCTGGAGAGGGATTGGGGGCTTATTTTGCTGATACTAGGGATGGTACAGAAAAACATGTAAATGTAATGTTCTCCTAACAAACCTCACAAGCCTACTGGTCTGTGTCATTGATGTGTACTCTAGTGCATCAGGCTAGAAGGGAGAGCCAGTAGGGATGTGTGAAAGGTTAAACGATTAACCAATAAGTGCAGTGATAACCGGTTAGCTTACCGGTTATCCTCTAGCTCAGGGCCCACGCAGTCTGGTAGGGAAGGGGGGGAAGGAATGCCACTCAGTGCCCCAGCAGGAGTCAGAAGGCAGCAGGGCAGGCAGGAGGGAGGGAGGAGCGAGGAGGGGTGTGGGGACTTGGACCCATAGCCTAAGAGGAAAACAGGGAGCAGTCTAATGATTCATCAGTTAAGCAATTAGCTGCTTTGTTCACAGGTTCTCCCTCCCTCTCAGCCCAGGGCTTCACGTGGGCTGTGTTGTCTGGCTGAGCTTGCCTCCTTCCCCTGCCCCTGCAGTCAAAGGGCCCTGGGAACTGGGAACAGCAGCTGTGTCTGAGCTGCTGTGTTGTGGGCTAATGGTTAAACTGATATAATTAGAGGTTAAGCAAATATTTTTAAATGGTCTATTCTTGAAGGCTTGTTGCTGTCATTACCTCCCGATAACATAACTGCTAGAAGACAATTAGATGTAAATGCTTTGAGGTTCCCTTCTCCCACTGTTTCGTCAGTTCAGAAAATGGTGAGCTTTTTTAACAGTTGCTCACCAACTTGAAGAAGGCTAATTGAAAGTCAACACTAGCAATGGTTATGTAAAAAGTTCAGTGAGATTGAATATATATCGCCTTGTCACAGACAAACATACAGGCTCTTTCTTACCAGGAGGACGTGCTCTAGGAGTTCCAAGTATCCCAAGGTACATTCTATTCCAAATCGCAGCGCTCTCTCTCGAACATCTTCACTCACATCTTGGTGATATGAAGCTTGCTATAGAGACAAAACAATATTAAAGCTAAAAAAGTATTCAAAGTGGGCGGTGGGGTGGGGAAGTCAGAGTAGATGCAAAAAGGACAGAAAAAAGTGATTTCTCTTAGGCTAGGGATAGAAGTTACACATAAACCAGTTTAAGTGATCAGAAACTGGTTTAAACTTGTAACAGAACGTAAGTTCAGTGTACATAAGCCAGTTTCAAAATGAATGAAACTAGTATATAAACCTGGTTCAATGTAGTATCAGACTTAACTGATTTGGGCCAAACCGGTTTATGGAACTTCTGTCCCAGACCCCTTCCTAGTTCAAGTTAAACCAGAGTCCTCCAGCATCCCAACATTTTGCAGCCCTAGGCTGAGTTGTGTTGTCTTAGGGTTACCATATTTCCAGTTCCAAAAAAGAGGACACCTGGCTGGGGAACAAAGAAGTGGGGGTGATGTGGGGGTGGGGGCATTTCTAACTGTTACAGTAAATGACAAGTGTCATTGCCTCAAATTTAATGAGAAACAAAAACATTAAGTAAATGCTGAAGTTCCATTCAGATGACGGACTGTGCTCCTGCTTTATGCAATGTCTGCTCTATCACTACAGTAAGCAGCAGGTTTTCTTTTTCTGTTGAAAAATTGCAAATTATCTGATAAAAAACCCGAATTCACTGATTAAAAACCCCCCAAACCTACATTTTCCCGTGATTAAATTGAAACACTACTATATATATATATAGTTGTCAATTTAACACAACGTTATATTTATTTATTTATAGAAGCCTACCAGTACCACAATCATTATAATAAAATAAATTTGAAATACCCTTTTTTTTTTAACTTTTTTTTTTTAACCAGAAAACCAGAGCTCCTCTGGCCTCTTTGCTCAACAAGGTGTGGGTCAGGCTATGGCTGTGTCCGCCCCCGCTGCTGCTTTGTAGTACCGAGCAGCCCCAAGTGATATACCAGTGCCCTGCCCCTGCCCATGGTGATGCCCCTCAGTCCCAATCCAAATTCTCCACTCCCCTCTGAGCTTTGCTTGTGCCCCGCCCCACAGCCGCCTCTGTCCTGTCCTAGGCTGGAGTAAGTGCAGCAGCTGCATCAGCAGCTCTGGCTCCTGTGGGTGGTGGTGAAGCAAGTTCAACCATCGCGCAGCCTGGAGGGTGGGGTAGGGGAGGCCTGTGCACCCTCCACCCTGGGCAGCATCTCCCTGCTACCCCATCACTCCAGCCCCCATGCCCTGCTGTAGCCCAAGCGCCCCACTACACACACACACAGTCCCCCCACCTTTCAGCTACTTGTATCCAAGTGCTTGGCTGGGGCAGCTCCCATACCCTGCCTGGCTGTCCATACCTGTATGCACACACAGAAACACAGCGACTCCTGCCCCGTCCCTATTCGCTGAAGTGGTATTGTGTTTTCCACGTTTTTCCATGATAAACTGAAAACTCAGATCTTGATTGAGAACTCAGCTCCAGATTGTGTGCTAGATATTCTGGGATCGGTAGTTCTACCTAGTGGCAGCCATCTTGAAAACAGACTGGGGTGGAAATCCTGAACATTCTGCCTGCATTTAAAAAACCTGCCTGGATGCAGCACAGCTGGCCAAAAAAGGACATGTCCAGGAAAACCCGGACGTATCATAACCCTATGCCATCTGCTCCAGAGAGCAGGGCTGGCCTCTACCCCTCTGCTCCCTAGCTGGAGCAGTGAGGGCTGGCTGACAAGGGGGTGGGGAACAAGCCTGACTGGGGATGCACCCTAGTCTACAGGGGTGGGGACTGCCCACCCAGGCAAACCCCAGATGGGGTCTGGGACAAGGGAGGCATGTTAAACACCCCTTCCCCTACTTCCCCTGCAACTGTGAACTACAAATCCCAGAGGCACCTGGAAGCAGAAAGAGGAATTGATGAGCAACCCTGCAGAGTCCTGCTGCTATAATTCTGGACTGCAAATCCCAGAGACCTCGGGGGCCACAAGAAGATGAAGTGAACACAGAGTCAGAGAGCCATGCTCTACTGGCTGTCCCCACCCGCCCAGCCCCAGCTTCTGGCCTGAGCCACTGCAGGCATGTGGCTACATTTCCTAAATAAAAGGTAAATGTTCGTTCACTTCTGTTTCAATTTAATCTTTGCTGCAGATGCTCTCCACACCGGCAGCAGCCAGCGCCAGCAAGACAAAGATAGCTCCGAGCAGGCAGGATCGCCCAGGGACCAACAGCTGCTGAAAAGCCCCACACCGGTCACAGGCAGCACAGGCGTGAGGGAAGAGACCTTGCTCCAAGAAGAGCGGGGAAAGGCATGGGGGATGGCGGACACTCTCCATAACGGAAGCATACATTGTGAGGAGTAAATTAACCCAGTAGAGAGGTATGCGAAGCTCTCATCTGGCAGAGAACGGATCAGTGTCGGGGGACGCAGCAGGGCACAAGCTCTAGGGCAGAGCCAGTATAATAAGGTAGTTCAGCCTGATTTTTTTTTTGCGTACCTGACTTTTCTTTTTCCCTTTCTCTCTCTCTCTCCCTGGCATCTTCAACTTTTGGTTTCCTTCTGACCTGTGCCCACTCCTCAGTTGTTTCTGGTTTTATTTTGTTATTTTACTTGCTTGCAACTCTTCACTGAGAGAGCCGGACAATGGCCATACATCAAAGGACCATCCGCAAGAAGCAACAGATGACTGACAGAGAGCAGAAGAGACCCGTAGGAGAGGGGAACATCTACCGGATCCAGGGTCCATTGAGAAGGCAAGGTGTAAACCTGATACCCGAGATTGAGTGATGGGCAAGAGTCATCAAGACCGGGAGGCCAGCTGCTCCAAGATCAGGAGGTCTGTCGGAGGAAGTGGTGTAGGGGAGGTGGAGCCCTGCGAATATCCATCAGGCAGAACAACCAACCTTGAGGGACCACCAATGGGAGACCCCACCACTGAAGAAACACCCAAAGTCATGGCATGCTGTCCCGAGGCGATTGGGGCCCCTGTCAGAGGTTGCATGAAGCCTCCCCGTGTTTACCACCAGGCACCCGTGCCAGGGCGGTATGTGAATGAATACTCGAAGAAAGATGGGCACAGCAATCGACAAAAGTAAATTCAGTGTGCAGCTAAATAGACAGAAGTGAGGGAACGGGACCTTGTGGATCATGACCTAGTGCACTGGAGATCTGGTTTCTACATAGAGCTTTGCAACTGGCCTGCTAGGTGACCTTCACTTCACCTCTGGTCCTGTGTTTTGTCATGTGTAAAAGAGAAGTTAGGTTATATTCCTCCTGTGTAAAGTGTTTCAAGAACTGCAGATGGAAAATACTATACAAGTGCTTGGCTATAATTCCATACGGGCTGAGGAGGGAGAGGAGGATCCAGGTAGTGAACCAAAGACTGCGGCGCTGGTGTCATCGGGAAGGCTTTGGCTTCCATGACCACAGTCCATTCTTTGGTGAGAGAGGCAGTGAGCTGCTAGGAAGGGATGGCCTCCACCTCTCTCCGCTGGGGAGGAGGCTCTTCTCAGCCAGACCTGCTCCACCAGGCTTTAAACTAAGCCCACTGGGGGAGGGGGAGGGGGAGGGGACGACTACCCACTGGGGGAGGGGGAGGGGGAGGGGACGACCCCCGGCCCCTGCTGGCCCACTGAGCAACTCTTGCAAAGCCAGCAGGTCAAAGCACTTAAGGGAGCCGACCCCTGCCCCAGCCCTAGAGCAAGCTGTGGGCAAGGCAAGGGCCCCCAAGGGGACACTTGCATGCCTGTACACCAGTGCCAGGAGCTTGGGGAATAAACAGGAGGAACTTGTCCTCCTGCTCAACACAAACAATTATGATGTCATAGGGATAACGGAGACCTGGTGGGACTCCACCCATGACTGGATCACATGTATACACAGCTATAACGTGTACAGGAGGGATCGAATGGACAAAAGGGGTGGGGGTGTAGCTCTCTATGTCAAGGAGAGCTCCGTGTCCCTACAGGCCGACAGCAGCACCCAGGGTGGATGACTAGAGACCCTCTGGGTTAAAATCTGTGGGTTACACAGCACAGGAGATACAATGGTGGCAGTCTACTACAGACCTCCCTCCCAGAATCAAGAGATTGACCTGGAGTTTGCCAGGGAATTGGCAGAGGCTGGATGCTCCCGGTCCATGGTTGTCATGGAGGACTTCAACTACTTGGACATCTTGTGGGAAGAGCGCTCGGCCAAATCTGAACGGTCGCAAAGCTTCCTCATGTGTGTGGATGAGCTCTATCTGACTCAAGAAGTCTACAGGCCAACAAGAGGCAAAGCGCTGCTTGACCTGGTACTGGCAAGCGGGGGCGACCTAATCAGTGACCTAACGATCAAAGGGAAGTTGGGTGACAGTGACCACGAGCTGATCACCTTCACCATCTGCTGAAAAGCTGTCAAGTCAGTCAGCAGTACAGAGGTCCTCAACTTCAGGAGGGCTGACTTTGACAAGCTCAGGAGACTTGTCGGTGAGGCCCTAAGGGACCATGACCCCAAAGGGACCAGGAAGAGTGGTTGCTCCTCAAGGGAGTGATCCTAGATGCATAAGTTAAGGCTACTCCATCTCAGAGGAAAGGCAGCAAGAGGGCACAGCAGTCCCTCTGGCTCAACAAGGAACTAGAGGTTCTCCTGTGTCTAAGAAGACAGACCTACAAAGGATGGAGGACGGAATTCATCTCCAAGGAGGAATACTCTGCACTGGTCCAGACCTGCAGGGAGCAAACCAGGAAAGCCAAGGCTGCGACGGAACTCCAACTGGCTACAAATATCAAAGACAATAAAAAGTCCTTTTTTAGATATGTACGGAGCTGGAGGAAAAGGAAGGGGAACATTGGACCCCTGCTAAACCAGAAGGGAGAACTGACAACTGACGCCCAGGAAAAAGCCAACTTGCTAAATGGGTACTTTGCATTGGTTTTTCACAAGTCCCATGGGACGCCCCAGCCCATTACGGGACAGGGACGCCTGAGTGAGGGTGGCTCCTTGCCCTCCATCAATGCTGACCTTGTGAAGGAACAGCTTG